TTCCAGCCTCAGCTTCCCCTCACTCCTGCCCATCTGCTGACCGCCCTGGTGCGTCCCCATGGCCCTGGGTGGCAAGCCTGGCCCTTCCTCTCGGGGAATGTGAGTAGAGACCCGCGTCACCTAACCATGGGACACCTTCTGAGAAACACGCCACGTGGCAATTTCGCCCTTGTGAGACCATCACAGAGTGTCCCTGCACAGACCTAGATGGCTCATCCTGCCACATGCCTAGGCCACATGGTACAGCCTGTTGCTGTCGGGCTACAAACTTGCGCAGCACGTTACTGCCCGGACGCTGCGGGCAGGTGACACCGCGGGAAGTGCTCGTGTGTCTAAACACAGACGAAAGTACAGTAAAAATAAGGCATCAAAGAAAAACAATGGCACACCTGTGCAGGGCACTCAGCGTGCGCGCGGCTTGCAGGGCCGGGGGCTGCTCTGGATGGGCGAGAGGTGAGCGAACGTGAAGGCCGAATTTAGCCTCAATTTGACCTTTTTAACAATGTCGGACAACCACCACCTCCATCCAATTTCAGAACATTTCATGACCCCAAAGGAGCAGCGCGCAGCCGCTGAGCACTGACTCCCAGCACACCCCCCAGCCCGGCCGCTCCCGTCTCTGCGGAGCCGCCGATCCTGGCATTTCGCACACGTGGACTCACTGGGTGACCCTCCGGGCCTGGCTCGTTTCACTTCGCGCCGTGTTTTCGGGGTCTGTCCGCGTCCGTTAATGGCCTGTGTCAGTGCTTCACTGCTTTCCGTGGCTGGGCGATATCCCACGTGTGGGTGGACCAGCGCCGTGTTCACCCGTCGTCTGCCCGCGGGCACCTGGGTGGTTTCCGCCCCGGCTCCTGCGAACGGTGCTGCGCGAACGCGGGTGCGCAAGTGTCTGCCCGCGTCCCTGGCTTCAACTCTTCGGGGCATCTACGTGCAGGGCCCGTTTTACCGCCAGGATTTTTCCTAACCAGCCCTCCACCACTCGACACTGCCTATCTGTCACCACCTCGAGGCGCCTGCTGCCCACCTGCAGGGAAACGGTCGCCTGTCCCACAGGGCAGCTCCTGGCCTGGTCCCTTACGTGTGGTGCCCGGTGCCCGCCACACTCTGCAGCTAGCGCTTTGCTTTGGCTCGCTTGGCGGTTTGCTCCATCTCTCGCTCACACACACACGGAGACCCTGTGCAGACAGGGACCGAGGCTGCCCTGCTGGCCGGGGCGTCCTCGGAGCCGCGCGCGCCAGCCCCTCAGCACCTGTAGGCTCTTTCGTCCACTGTCCCCTGAACCAGCCATTTCCGCAGACCCCTCAGCAGGGTTCCACCCTGACTCTCAGGACCCTGACCCTTGACCCTGGGAGCACAGACGAGGCAGGGCTCAGGTGTTAGCTGGGAGAACCAGGCCGCGCAGGAAGCAGAGAAGCAAGCTCCGAACCGGAGAGCTCAAGGGATGGGCAGGAGAGGACCCTGGGCTGGGGGAGGGGGGCCCTGGCACCAGCCCCGCTAGAGATCTGATGCTTCCCGGCTTCCCGACGCCGTCCCCAACACCGTCCCCAGCACTGAGTGGATGAAACAGACTTGCCAGGAATCCAAGGCTGCCCCGCCTCACCCGCCAGCGCCCCGCCCTCTGGCCTCAGCTTTGGTCTCCAGGAAAGTCCTCAGGAGTCAGCCCTTGCCAATGTGGGAGGAACCTTCTAGAAGCGGGGAGTCCCAGCAAGTTCCCAGCCCCTCACCACACAGTTTCCACAGGAACAAAGGGGACCGGCGTCCCGCACCCAGGACCTCCACACTGTTCCACGCAGACAGAGCTGCGTGGCAACCGCAGCCCAGCAGCTGCGGTGTTGGGAGCAAGGAGCCCGGACAGGCCGGCAAACGGGGGACAGGGCTCCGTCCGGAGCCAGGATCCCTTTAAAGTCACTCCAGCCCCGCTCTCACCTGTGCCCCCCGCCCCCCGCCCCCAGGAGGCCGGGAACGGGGCCATCTGAAGCTTGGGAGGGGACCCCGGGCCGCGAGGAGACCAGCCGCGGGGGCCAGGAGGAGCAGGCCTTCCCCAAAGCACCCTCTCCTGGGGCAAACGGGGCTCCGTGGTGCTGCCCAGAGCACCCCCCCATCCCCGCAATCCAGGCTTCCTTCCCCCACCTGGCCCACCTGCACTGCGCCCCTAGGGGGCCCGGGAGCGGAGGCCACCTCCCCCTGACCTGCCAGCGCCACCTGCTCTGCCCACAGGGAGGACCGAGCCTCAGGCCTGTCCAGGAGCAGGGCGGGGGACAGCAGGCACAGCCACCAGTTCTACCTTGACCCACAAGGCTGGTGGGGGCCCAGGGGGCGGAGAGGGAGGCTTTGCAGGAGGGTGACACAGTGAGAAGAGGGTAGGGCCGCTTCTGGCTCAGCCAGAGCCGCCTCCCTCACCCAGGACCAGGCTTCCCGGGAGGAAGGTTCTTTTGCGCCTATGGGGCGGGGGGCGGTCCGGGAGCCGCCGCTTCCCTGTGTCCGGCTGGATACTGGGGCACTTGGGCCAGGGTCTGCGCTGGGCTTCCAGTGCCCGCCGAGCGCCCCCCAGACCCACCATGGTCCCCGAGCCCAGACCGGCTGTGGCCAAGAGGTCTGGAGCGAGTGAGGACCCTCCAGGGGGAAGCAGCCCCCTCGCGGGTTCCCCGCCCGCTCCTGGACTCCCAGGGCTGTGAGGACCCCCTACCCACCCTCCCAGTCTGCTGGGGTAGGAGGGGCTCCAGCGCCCCTCTCCTCCACTGGGCGGAACCGGAAGAGGGTGGTTGAATCAGCACTTCTCGCCCCATCTGGAACATTCCAACGTGGAAAACTCATGGAGCAGCAGGGGAAGCAACTTAGGAACTTTAATTAAAGGCCGATGACTCTCCCCAGGAGCCCCACCCCCGCATCTGCCCTGAGTGTGAGCTGAGGCACAGCTGTGCGCCGCGCGCAGGCCTTGGTGGGTAGGCCAAGTTTCCACTCTGGGGGGAGACAACATTCTGTTTCCAGAGTCCGCTCTCCACGCCCTGCGCCCAGGCCCCAACGCCAGGCAAGCCAGCACCCTCCAGCTCTGCGCCTGAGAAGGTGCAGGACAGGGAAAATGGGTCACCTGTGTGGACTCAGAAAAGGAACTCTAAACATAGGGAGGAAGCAGGGAGCCCGAGTGACAGCACAGCTCTCTGTTCCAAGGCTGCACCTTCTGCAGGGAAAGGCATTCCAGAGGGAACAGCAGGTGCAAAGGCTGTGAGGTCAGAAAGCAGGTGGAAGAAGCTGGCAGGGGTCAGTGAGGCAGGACTGTGGGGGTGAGGGGAGCATGCAGGATTGGGGGGCAAGCCCTAGAGAGCCTCAACAGCTGTGGTCAGGCATCTGGTCCTCATCTTAGAAGTGATGGGGATGGAGATTGGGGCATTTTAAAATAACAGGATCTGGTTTACCCTGAAGACACCCCTTTGGCTGCCATTGTGACAGCTCAGCGCAGGAGAACACAAGCGGTGCTGCGCCACAGTGAGAGGCCCTGAAACTGTCCAGACGCGAGAAGGGCGTGTCCAGGGAGAAGAAATATTCGTACACCGGCTGGGAACTAGGTCAGGGGCTGTCCTGCCTCCTCCGACTCCCACCACCCAGGGCAGGCTGCTGTGCCCAGTCTTTATGGGGGGCACCAGTGCAGAGGATGGGGACGGAGCCACCAAGCCCACTGCTCACCACCCAGCAGGGGTTCCAAAGTGGAGTCTGTCCCCTCCCTTGGTTGCTGGAAGGCAGGCAGGCCAGCCCTCTCCCCTCCACCCAGGTCCGAGCTGTGCACACATCTGGGCCCACAGCCACCCACCACGTGTGACTGCTATTGTCCCTTGGGTGCTGGGAGGGGAGCCCAGAACCAGGACCTGGCTCTGCCTCTGGCCTGGCCTGGAAGAGGGTACCCAGAGAAAGGGCTGGCCCCTTGGGGCAGCTCCAGAGGGGAGTGTCCATGGGGCCCAGAAACTAGCAGGAGCAGGGGCGGGTCTCCAGATGCCCGCATCTTCCACCCCCACCCACCAGGTCCACACAACCAATGGGATCCCATGACAAACACAGTGGCCCTGGTGACCAGGGGGGCCACAGCCGACCTTGAGAGTCAACCAGAGGAGGGTGGAGGCTGACAGGCTGCCCCTCCCTGCACGTCCCCCCCACCCACTGCCTGTGTCCCTGGGTCCCAGGACAGGGAGTGGCTCCAAGCAGCCAGAGGCAGAAAGGCCACATCAGCGCCGAGGAAGGGCCATGAGGCCCAAGTAGCGGCCTGGGGTGCAGAGACCACAGCCAGGCCCTGTGGCAGGCCAGGCAGCCCCTGAGGTCATTGTCAGGGCAGCTGGTGGGCACCTGGCCAGGAGCAGGTAAGAGTCATTACTGAGGGGCCCTCACGTTCCCGGGGAGAGGGGTGGACTGGGCACCCCAGCCTGCCTGGGTCTGGCCTGACTCCGTTAGGAGCCAGCAGCTGGGCTGCAGATGGGCATTGGATCCGGCCCCACCCAGGGGGACAGCACAGGAAAAACACAGCAGAACTGGGTCAGCCAGGGCCTGGGGGAGTGGGCGGGGCCTGGCCATGGGCGGGGCCTGGCCATGGGCGGGGCCTGGGCAGGGCGGGCCCTACTGCAACAGACACCACCCCACACATCAACACTCACCCGCTCTCGCTAACACTCGGGCAATTCCACGAGGCTTCCACAAGGAAGTGCCCGCCAGCCCCCACCCCGCACCAAGACATGGGATTCGCATAGGCCATGGGTGCAGTCCCCGGTTGAGAAGAGAGCCCAAGGGCGGCCCCCAGAGTCACTAGGGCTAAGCAGTGTGTCAATGGGCAGGCCCTAAGGGTCTCTGAGCCTCACATGCTCACCTGAGACGTGACCAAGCACACTGCCCACCTCTGAGGATGTCTAAGGGACGGGTTTTGGATGACACCTGGCACGCGATCAGTGCCCAGTGTAGTTAGCTGGTACGACTACACTTCCCTGGTGGTGGTACCTCCACCCTCCATCCTCAAGGTCACATGGAAGAATCCAGATCCAAACTTTATTTCTTAAATACCCACCCGCACGGGAGGCAGCCTGCGCCGGCAGGGCCAGCAGACACAGATTAAGGTTGCTGAGCCTCCCGAGGCGGGGCTGGCCCTGGCTCAGTCCCAGCCGAAGTCCCGGCCAGTCATCTGGTAGAACTTGCGGTTGAAGGGCCGGTAGAAGTCCTGCAGGCGCCGTACCACGGCCTGCGGCACGCGCGGGTGAGGCCGGCCCTTGGACTTGCCCAGGCAGCGTGGCCGGCTGCCGCCCTGGGCCTTCTTGAGGCAGGGGAAGCCCTTGGTGGCGTTGAAGTAGAAGTGCTTGTCCGTGACGACCCGCTTGAGGCCCAGGAAGTCCTGCACGCGGCCGACCTCCCCGGCTGGGTCGCTGACCAGGCGCTCGCCGCTGACGAACAGGAAGTGGGACAGGGGGAAGTAGCGCAGCCAGTTGTCCAGGTGCTGGGCGTACAGGCCGATGCGCACGGCACTCCAGGCGGTGTCCACCGGGCCCAGGCCATGGCGGAAGGCCAGGGCGCGGAAGCTGGGCAGGCCCGGGGTCTTGGAGAGCGTCTGGGCATAGTCGGAGATGGCCCGGGTCACAGGGTTCCGCACCACCACGATCAGCTTCGTGTCCGGGGACATGCCGTGGATGCGGTGGGGGGCCTCTCGCGTCACGAAGTAACTGGGGGTCTTCTCCATGGTGATCTGCCCGTCCAGGGTGCGCGGCATCAGGCTGCTGCGGGACGGAGGGGAGGAGAGGTGGCCTGAGCACACGCAGCCCTCCAGCCCCTCCCACACTAGACGGCCCCCAGCCAGCAGCCAGTCCAGGCCTCCCAGGTGGACGGCCCCCTCCCCGCTCAGGCCCAGCCCTCCTAGGCTGCTGGCGGGCAGGGAGGCAGGGCTGCCCTTTTGTTGCTGCTGTGACAGTCATGGGGTGGGGCCCGGACGCTCTTCTCTGCCGACCGAGGGTCCCAGCCACTGTCCCTGCACAAGCGCTGCCCTCCCTCACCCCCCCCGGGCTGGCTCCCTCAGACGCTGGCAGTCCACACCCACCCGAGCCACCCTTCCCGGAGCTAGACTGCACCCCAACCCTGACACTCTCACCCAGACCCAGTAGCCCTGAGGCCGGCCCGCCTGGACTGGCCGTCCTGCAAGCCACTGCACTGTGATCACTCAAGGTCACCCTTTCACTCAGTGGCTGAGAGCGTCCCCAAATTAGGCCGTCGATTATTGACAAGTGTCCTGACAAAGTAGCCCTCACTCTGCCTCCCCTGAATTTAATTACACCTTCTCTGGCTTCAACTGCAGCCCTGCTAGTTCTCATCAGCCTGGGCCCAGGCTCAGAATGCCAAAAGGCCATCAGCAGAGCCCCGCACGTTTGAGAAAAGTGAGTGACGTGGCTGCGCCTGGCCTGAGGACCTTTCCCGAGACCCTGGCCGCTGGGTGCCAGGCTGCGGGTGCCAAGCTCAGGCATATCTGAAATGCTTCCCATTCTGACCGAGGGGAGGAAAGCACTGACCCAACCCTAAGATTCAGGGGGAGGTGGCTGACCACAGCCCCTTGACTGCCCCAAACCTGGGGAAGCCCGTCCTGAACGCCTGCCTGGGCAGGCCCAGGCACCCAGGCCGTGTCCCGAGGCCGCACCTGCCAGCCAGGTCGCGCAGGGTGAGGTCGGGCAGGGCAGGGCAGGGTGGGGCAGCTGAGCAAATAGCTCGGGGAGGGCTGGGAACTGGGTCAATAGAGACAGAGGCTGTGGGGACCTGTGCTAGGGAGGGGACGTCTCTGCCTGGCCATGCCTGGCCCTGCCCAGCCCTGCCTCCTGTGCTCTGAGGGGGCTTCCCCAGCCCCTGCAGCCGACAGCCCCAGGACTGGCCCCAGCGGGAGGCTGATCTAAGTGGCCCCCAGACTCTGTCCGCAGGAGACAGGGCTTGAGTCTCCTCTTCCTGCTCAACGCCCCGAGAAAACTCAGGCCCAGCCACACACAGGTGCACAGACCCACACCCTGGGGTGCTTGGCTCGCCGAGGGCACCGGTGGTGGGACAAGAATGCCAGGCTCCCCTGACACCTTCATGAGTGCTGCAGGGCTGGGGTGGGCAGCACAGGGGCCTCCCAACCCTCAAAACAAGGCCTTGGGCAGAGCTGGTCCACAGAAGTCCCGGGGAGAATCCTGCCTCCTCCATCTTGGTGACAGTGAGCTGGAAGTGCCCTCCACCCCCCCCACTGCCCCATTTCGTAGGCAGGCGCCCACGCTCAGGCTCAGCAATGGAGCAGGCAGTGCTGAGGGGGACGCTGGCCCCCGGCCTCCCGCCCCTGCGGTGGCTACAGAGGGCTGCAGGGGCCGACCTCCTTCTGGCCACCTGGAAGGGAGGTGTCTGCTCGGCTGCTGCTCCCAGTGCCCCTGGACCCCACACCCTACCTCTCATAGCTGGGAACCACGTGGGAACAGCACCCAGCCACCCTGGGGATGAATTCAAAGGCGTGGGTGGCGTCAGCACCAAGGTCTGAGGCTCAGGGCTGCAGCCTGGTGCAGGCCCCCGCTTTCCCGGGGGAGAAGTCATGAGAAGGGGAGTCCCCCCTCCTCTCCGCCCCCGGGCCGTGCTGCAGACGTCCCTTTGGCCCCTCCCAGGGAAGGGCGCTAGCCCCAGGCCCTCCAGTCCTCGCTCTAGCCCCGACCCCAGGAGCCCATGCTCCCTCCTTTCCCAGACTGGACAAGTCTGACTCTGAAGACCCCCTCCCTCCTGCGAATGCTGCCCCCCACCATGCTTCCTCTCCAAGGAAGTCAGAGCTCCAGGGGAAGATGCTCCCAGACCCCCGCAGAGGAAGGATGTAGGAACACGGAGGGGGAACAAGGACTTTCGAGGCCCACTCTCACACAAACCAGCTGTGAGATCAGAGATCTTCGGGGTCAATGACTTACCCTCCCCAGGCCTCAGAAGTCTGTCCCAGCCGCATGGAGGGTGGGGGTGGGGCTCTGGGGATGAGGGCGAGGGGCAGGACTCTGACCTCCACAAGCAAGCCTCTCACAAGCTGCTCCCGGGACCCTCCCTCCCTCCCACAGAGCCCACCTCATCTGGTCTGCATTTCCCTGCGGCTTCCAGCCAGCCAGGGCTAACTCGGCGCCCTGACCTCGCCTGGGCCGATTAGGCAGGCCTGGGACCCGGCAGAAACCAGTTCTGCTCCTACGCGACGCCAGAGTGCTGGGGGCTCACATGCCGGCCACGCAGCCTCTCCGCAGGATCAAGTCGGGGTACGTCCCACAGATGTCCCTCCCCTACTCCCCCCAGCCACTGCTCTTGCGGCCCCTTCCCTACCCACTCCCCTCTCACCTGTTACTTTTCCAAAATATTATGGCCAAAATGTAGTCCCCAGACAGGCGCCCCTCCCAGCTCAAAGCCTTTTGGGGGGGTGTGACCCCAGCACCTGGCAAACAGGTGCCAGGGAATGAGTGAATAGATGAACAGTGCTGAGTTTGGGGGTACTTGGAAGCAGCTGACACTCCAGATTAATGGGGCAGGGGCCAAGGGAGCTGACCTCTCCCAATCCTCTGCACCTGCCCCTCCCCCCATGGAGGTGGGGGTCTAAAAATGAGGAAGAGTCTCTCCCAGGGCTACGGTCTCCTGAACACCCCCACTCCCATCCTGGGCATCAGTGTCCCCAAGAGCCCCTCCCAGGGCTGAGGATCTGACCCCCAGTCTGAGCCTGGCCCCGTTCTCCCCAGACCCAGTGCCAGAGCCCTCAGGATCCTCGCTCCTTGAGAACCTTCTAGGGCTAAACCCAGCCGAGATGCTCTGGGGTTGGTGGTGGCTCTGAAGTTTGTGCTCCAGTTAGCTGTGTGTCCTCACCCCTCACCCCTCTCCCCTCCCACTTGTCCTTAGAGCTGCAGGGATGAGGGCTGCGAGAGCCCTGCTGCAGTCCGGGAGGGGGCCGGGGGTCCCTCCCAGGAGCCTGAGCTGAGGATGGCAGCACCCAGGATGGCCGCCAGGCACCCAGGATGGCCTCGTCTTCCCCGCACCACCTGGCTTCCCTGGACCCCTGACAGCACAACCCCTCAAAGCTCAGGAGCCAGCACCCTCCTCCCGGTTCTCACCGAGGCCCCGCCCTGCCTGCCCTCCAAACCCAAGAGTAGTTTTAACGCAAAGTTAACAAACGGGGGGGGGCAGCGGAAGAGGATATGGGACCGGAAACTGGTGCACCTGGAGCCAAGGGTCGGGGTCCTGCCACTTCCCCCCCAGCACTAATTCCCCAGGCGACCCTGGGCAGAGGCTCAGCCCAAGCTTGGGGATGCCCAGCCACCAGGACAGCCCGCCTTAGCTGGGGCTGGGTGCTCCCCACATTCCACCGCCACACCCCAAGTCCCTCCTGGGCTGGGGTAGGGCAGCCACAGAGCCCCATGCTTGAGGCTAGAGCCTGAACCTCCACCCTCAGGCCCCCACTCAGAGGCAGTTTCCTCCTTTCTAGAGCCTGGTCTTTCTCCGGACTCCCAAGACCACCAAGAAGGTTCCTCTGCCCAGGGTCGGGGGTCTTGGCGAGGCTGCAGGGAACCTGGAGGCCTCTTCCTAGGGTAAGTAGCCAGCGGTCAGGTGGGCAGACATGCCCCGAGTGACCCAGCCTGGAGGCGACTGAGCAGAAGGCATTTCTAACGCTCCCAAGTAATCCCACTGGCTTGAAACTACTTCCCGGCTGCATCACACCTCCTCCCCCAACCTCGCTGGGTCCCTCAGCAGACCCGAACCAGGGCTTTCCCCGGAGTTTCCAGAGTTTTTGGGACTCGCAGCCAGGTACCACTCCTCCTTTCGGAGCTGCGTCCTTGGGGTCCTGTCCGGAGACCTCGCCCCGCTGCGCGCCCAATGAGACCCCGGCGCGCACGACGCCCTCCCCGGACTGCACCAGCCGGGCGCACCAAAGCCGCGGGGCGGTGGGCCGGGCGCTCACCGGTACCAGGCGAGGCCGCGCTCGTAGCATCTGTCGAAGAAGTGGGGCTCGGAGCCGAGCGCGCGGACGTCGGGGTGCAGCCGCAGGAACTCGAGCAGCGCGCGCGTGCCGCCCTTCTTCACGCCCACGATGAGCGCCTGCGGGAAGCGCCGGCGGCCCGGGCCGCTGGCCACTGGCAGACCCAGAGTTCCGGGGCGGCGGGCGGCGCGGGGCGGCTCGGTGGGCGCAGGGGCCGGCGCGGGGCCGCGGGCGGCCGGAGGGCAGCGGCCCGGGAGGGCGCAGAGGCAGTAGGCGCCGAGCACCAGAGCCACGAGCAGCAGCGGCGCGCGGGGCGCCCGCAGTGCGGCCCCCTGCCCGGGCCCCGCGTTCTGGCCGTCCCCGGCCCCGCCGCCCAGGCCACCGCTACCTGCCATGGGGTCGCGCCGCGCCCGGGCCCGGGAGCGGGGGCCGCAGGCGGGCGCGCATCCCGGCCAGCGCCGCGTTCAGCCCGCGGGCGCCCGGCTTCTGCTCCGCGCCCCGCTGTCCCGGTGCCTGGGAGCGGGCGGAGGCGGGGCCAAGGGCGGGGCCGGGGCGTCCCGCCCCCTCCCGGACACCGCCGGGACAGGGACACGCCGGCACCCGCCGACGCCTGGGCGAGACTCGGAGCCGCGGGACTACCTGGTGGCTCCCGCGCGGAGACCCTGGGCCCGGGTTCGCTGGGCTCCGGCGTCTTCACCTCTGCGCCGGGAGGACGCAGCGGCGACGGCGGATAGGAACACAGGGCGGTGACAGGGCGGCGCGGGCCCCAGGACCCGCTCTTAGAGGGCGGGTCCCCGCCGCTCCGGGACTTGGGCGGCAGGTGCGCGGGGCGAGCCCCGGTCTCCAGGAGTGGGAGCCTCATCGCCAGGCCCAGTGGACCGAAGAAGCGCGTCGACCCGGGCGCCCCGCCTGGGAAGGGAAAATGGGGCCAGGCCAGCACCCTCCTGCGCAGAGGGGGTTCCCAGAACGTGGGGGAGGGAGTGTGCGGTGGGGGATGGGGCGGCCTTGCCCTCCCAGCCCACAGTGGGCCCAGCGATTCATGGGGTCACAGCCCTGCCTGCTGGGGACGGCTGGGCAGGTCCAGTTACCGTTTTAGAGTCGCAGAAACAGGCTCAGAGAAGACAGCCGTCCTTCCCAGGGGCGCGGTGGAGAGCTGTCTATCGGGTCACACCTCCTGCCCAGCCTAGTCCACCTGGCCTTCCCCTGGGATGTGGGTGGCCAAGTGGCTCCCACCGGGGGTGTGAGGGATTGGGGAAACCTTTGCTGCGGGGAGGACGGGCGCTCAGCTCCTGCCCTCGGAGCTCCCTCTGAGGCGTGTGAGAGTCCCCAGCTGTGGGACCTGCTGGGCGCTGGACACTGCAGCATCTTCATCCCCCCCAGGTTCAGGAATCAACCCCCCGCAGAGCCTGCGCGGAAGGCAGAGGAGACGAGCTTTCGGAGAGGGTGAGCAACTTGCGCGGCCCGGGATAGAGGTAGAATTGGACCCGGGTCCTCTCTCTGCCTCTGCCCCAGCCTTTCCGGCCGCAGGGTGGGTGCCAGGCGGGCACGGGCTCCACGCAGACGCCCGGCCTCTTTCCAGCCAATGGCGCGAAGGCTCGGTCCTAGGTTCTGCTCCTTAATGAGCAGTTCCTGGGCCTAATGGCATCTGGACCAGTCCCAGCAGCCTGGGCTGCCTTGGAGGGGCAGGGGCTTCCGTGACGCACAGCCGTTTCCTGCCTCCCACCTGGGGGCAGCCTGGCCGGATGGGGCCACCCGGGGCTGCCGGGGTGGAGAGCACTGACCAGACCCCCAACCAGGGTCCAGATGCTGGGGCTGCACCTGCTTGTGAGGACAACCGCCAGCCAGGAGCCCCGTGGGCAGGCTGTTGGTTCAGCACCTTCTGGAGAGCATGCCGGCACACGCAGGGTCATGGGAAGTTCTTCTTCTGGTCTAGCTGAAAGCAGGATTTGTTCCAGACAAGCTGGCTCTCCTTAGAACTATCCTGGGGAGGGTCCCACCCACCCTGCAGCACCCACCAGTCTCAGCAGTCACTGTTCAGGACTCCAAATTCCAGTTTTTATTTCCTGGTGGCCCCTCCACCTTCCTGTGCCAGCACCAACATAGTCGTTCCCACCTCCTGGCTTTGCTCTGCCGTCCCCCTGCTGGGTGACTTTGCCTTAGCCCCTGACCTACTGAGGGCCAGAGGACCTTCCAGGAGGCATTGACCAAGCATGGTAGGACGCGGACCACATTGGGGCAGAGAGAGTGAGGTCCAGGGACGAGGCGTCTGTGTGCAGAGTTCTACAGGAAGCTGGCCCCCTGCCTCCACCCTCCACCTCCCCTCCCGTGAGGGCTGGTGCAACTCTGGGCTGTTTGCTCACCAGTGTACCCCAGCACCTAACACGGAGCCTGGCACCCTGTAGGCGCTCAATAAATGCTGGTCAGTGGAAGGCTACGAATGGGAAGAGGGGTCAGGCAAGGCTGTCTGGAGGTGATGGTTAGTTGGGGAGGAGGAGCCCAGCCTCCCAGCAGGGAGTCCCCGGAGGGCAGGACCTGGAGCCCATCCCTGGGGTGGGGGCTGAGGCTGGTTCCAGCCCCACCTCCCCCCACCCCCCACCCCGGCCCAGCCACGTGGCCTCAGGCTCTTCCCAGCCCTGAGCCCCTGTTCCTTCTTTGTAAAAAAACGGAGACCTCGACCCTGCCCTGAAGTCGTTCTGGCGGCAGCTTTGCTGAGACGTAATTCACAGACCGCACAACTCAGCCGCCCGAAGTGTGCAATCCAGCGGGTTCCCGGACATCACGATGTTGTGCAGTCATCACCACACCAAGTTTAGAACATTTTCATCACCCCAAAAAGAAATCCCAGACCCCTTAAGCAGTCACTCCCCATTCTCGCCTCCCCCCAGCCCCTGGCAAGCACCAATCTACATCCTGTCTCTGTGGATTTGCCTGCTGGGGACAGGTCGTAGAAATGCAGTCAGACATCTGTCCTTTCGGGTCTGGCTCCTCTCAGCACAGCGTCTGCCCGGTTCACGCTTGTCACGTGTGTCAGTGTGTCGCCCCTTGCTTATGGTGCAGTGATGCTCCATTGTGTGGACAGCCCACATGTTTATTTCTCGTCACTTGAGGGACATTTGGGCCGTTTCCACTTGTTGGAGGTGCAGTATGAATAATGCCGCTATGAGCATCCGTGCCTAAGGGTTCGTGTGCACCTAGGCGTGGAACTGCCGGGTCGCGTGGGATTCCATGTTTGACTCTGATGAAGGTGAAAGGTGATAATTTCAGAACCCTCCTCTCTGGCTCCTCACGCACAGGGCTGCGTGCGTCCTTCTCCCCTCCCCGGATGTCTGGGCCCTCCTCTATCTGCCCCCGCCCTGCCTGCCACCAGGGCCAGCCCCGGCTCCCTGCTGGCTCCTGCGTGACCTACGGATGGTGGATCCCCCTCCCTGGGCCACGCAGTAAAAGAGACCGAGCCATGGGGACACAGGGTAAGGGCTGACCCTGTGCCCTGGGAGGGTCACTCACCTGTGTCTGCTTGAGCCTCCTCTGCCAAGAAACAGGCATTAGCGAGATCCTTCTGCCCAGCTGGGTCTCCCAGGGGCCCAGCAGCTTTGAGGGTCCCACAAGCCTGAGCTCCTCTGGACCCCTGTGCAGGCAGGACAGCCGGGCAGGTGGTCTGTCTGTCCACCCGCCTTGCCCAGCCTCGGACAAGCAGACAGCACGGGGAGTGAGGCGTGATGCGGTGGAGGGGGAGTGTGGGAGGGAGAAGGCCCAATAAACCCCATCCCTGGGGGGTCAACACGCAGGGCCAGAGCAGGAAGGGACAGAGAGGGAGTCCCAGGGAGCACAGTCGTGGTGGGAGCAGGGCTCAGCCCGGCCTCACAGACCAACGACCAGCATCCCGGCTGTGTCTGCCCCTTCACAGCCCGTGACTATCCCCTGGCGGGTGGTTGAGACGCCCACGTGCCTCTACCTGCCCATGAGCTCTGCAAGGGCAGGGCTGGGGTCAGTCTTGATCCCTTCTGTGACTCCACACCCAACCATGGCGAGTGCTCATAAACGTTTGTGGAGTGACTGTCAGTGTGTGTATGTGCGTGCGTGTGTGACCGAGAGTGTCTGTGCGTGTCCCTCACCCACACCCCTCTCTGCCTCTTTCCCAGTCTTCCCGTGCCCAGGGTGGGCGCCCCCGGCCCGGCCCCCCAGCAGCAGGGCGTGGCCCGCGAGCGGCTGCCCCACTCTGGAAAGTGATTAATAACACTGCGTTTCCTCCCTCCGTGGGGACAGCTGTGGGAGATTTCACACACACAGGAACTCTGGGAACTCCCTCCCTTAAAACCACACCCTCTAACCCCCAGACCCACTCCCACAGCCTGCTGGATTCGATTCGATTCGGAGCCTGCAAGGGGAGTGGAGGGGGGCTGTGTCCTTGATTTCGGTGGGTTCTTCTCCACTTCAGTTGCCTGAGTTGCCGCAGCACACAGAGGATGTGGTTCCCTCAACCTGGCAAGGCTGCCAGCAAGGCTCTGGGCCTTCAGGGCTGATTCAAGCCCAGCTCTGCGCCCCCACAGGTGACTGGGCAGCCCCGTCCTCACTTTCCGACTTCACTGAGCACCGGTGATGCTAGCTCCCGCCTCTGAGTGCCCCACCCTAAGTGCTCCATGACTGTTCCTTATGATAAGGGGGCAGAGGACATGTAACAGTGACCACAGTACAAGAAGGGTGCTCTGAATCTGCTCCCTCCCTGGGGGACCTGAGTACTTCATAATTCCGTCTTCCTTAGGGACAAGGGACAAGGGGTGGAGGGGAAAAGCTTCCCTGGCTTCACAGTGGCAAGCCAGCCTGGCCTGCCAGAACCCAGGAAATCTGGCTCCTGGTGACCTGGGGACACTGACAGAGAAAGGTCCTGGGGCTGCCCGGGGTTTGCCAGGGCAGAACAGGTCCCCAGTGTCAGGAGGGACGCACGAAAACCTTCCCCTGGGCAGGAGAAGAGAGGAGTGAGGGCTGCAGGGTTTGCCAGGAGGAGCCAGGCCCCTCTCCGCAGAGGGGCAGCCCCGGCCTGCTTCCAGCCACCCGCCCTCCCTTCCCTTGGGTGCTCCTAGAGGGATCAGCACAGAGGGCCGTTTGCTGCTGGTCCCTGCTTGTCCAGGGCAGAGAGCCACATCCCCAGGATGCACAGCTGGGCCCTGAAAATTGCTCCTCGCCCACCAGCCCTCAGCTCAATTCATAACAATGTAGTAATCCTTTACCCAGGCCTTTATCCCCAAGGAGGGTCTGAAGGGGGACCCGAGAGGGTCCCACAGAGCCTGGGCTCCCCCCTCCCCACCTCCTCCACCTTCTTAGTCTCCCTCCAGGCCTCGGCGTGGAAGACCTTCAGCCCCGAGGGGAGGGCAGGGCGTCATCCAAGTGGCCCCACGTC